TTGTATTGTTAAAATAATAAAAAAAAAGGATCAAGAATTTATTCCAAACTTTCAAGTACCTTGAAGTGTTTTAAGCACAATCTATAATGCAAATAACTGTGAATGAAAAGTCATATTCTGATATCACGTAACTTCACACCGTTCGACAACGAGCAATTCGATACGTAGCCAATTTGTTTTAACATTTGTATGACTTGCGTTTAAGTTTTTTTTTACGAATCCGACACCTCCTGCATTAGCTGACTCAGGAAAAGTAAGCAAAAAGATTACCTACCAACCCAACGTGCCACCGAGCTATACTGTGCCGTAGTATAAAAAATACAGTAGTACTAATAGCAGTCAATTTAATTTCTCTTTTCAAAAATTCGTCTTGACAGTGCCATAAATTTTCTAGAGCTCTCCATAAAATATTAAGACTATATTTACTGATTGTTCTTATGTGTTTTATGACTTTATACTCTAGCATGTACAGAAAAAAATTCTAGGTTGATACCTTCACGCGTTCCTGAGAAAAATGGTTTTGACAGACAGACGGACGGACAGACGGACGGACAACAAAATGATCCGTTCCGTGAAGGGTTCCGTTTTTTCCTTTCGAGGTACGGAACCCTAAAAAGATTCAGTTCCCCATTGCCAACTACAAGCCTATTTTGTTATGCAAGCTAAGGAGAGCTAGCTACAGCTTTCTCATGATAAAATTATCACATAGTTCCAGTAGGCTAATTCTAATTCCTTGTAAGTAAACACTTTTCTCTCGTCCGATTAGTTGTAACATTAAATGGGTCTACTGATATCGCTGCACTGTGGCACTATAACGCCGCACATAAATATAGATAAGAAGATATTACGCTCTGATTGCTTCGCGCTGAATGCAGCCACAGTTAGGATGTGTTGCGAGAACATTACATACCAAGAATTGTGTACATAACGAGCTTTTATTATGTTTTTAAATTTAAATATATTTTTGTAAGTTTTTAAATTCACAAAAATATAATTTTGATCAATTAACATATTCATAAACAAATCAAATTTCAACATATTGGAAAATTTTATTTATGCAAATTGTTTTACGAAACTTTTTTTGGCAAAATCAGTAATATACTTTTCGATGTATCATCACAGCATCGATGGTTCAGTGGTAGAATGCTCGCCTGCCACGCGGGCGGCCCGGGTTCGATTCCCGGTCGATGCAGAATACACTTTTTGTTTTTTTTTCAATATTTTTTTTTAATTTCTCTGCTTAACTCAAGCATTAAAAACTTTTTGTATTTTTTTCAATAATTTTTTTATAATTTCTCTGCTTAACTCAAGCATTAAAAAAAATTGCATACAAATTGTTGTATCGACTTCAATCAGAAAATATGGATTTTTGAAGGTGTATCTCCAGAATGGCTGCATGGATCTTGCTAAAACCTGACTTAGATGTGAAACAGCCTGGAAGAATACATAGGCTACTAATAAAGTTTTTTTCCTATTTCGCGCGGACAGAATCGCGGGCGACAGCTGGTTTTAATATAATTTTTCTACAGTGGAACTCAGTTGATATGTTACACGTGTCCACGTTGCACTAAACCTGGTAACATTATCCTATGCTATATACAGCATTGAGGTCATATATCACCGATCAACTCAGCTAAATAGACTTTTATACGTGGGCTACGTCCCTAGACACTGTATGTGCATAATCAAGTAAATGAGTTCATTGCTAAAAGCGAAGCAATTTTAAATTGATTTAATTTAAACTAGTGCCTACATAGCCTTCCAACCAAGTCACAGCAATAGAACATTTTGACCTTGAGATAGTATTAACCTAAACACAAGATATTTTTAAGTTTACTTTCATGTAACTTATAAATTTAATTTTAATTAATGGTTTAAATAATTTGTAATCGTAATCAATATCGAGAATGATTTATTTTTTATCAATTAACATCAAATTAACCTACCTTTTTGGTTTCCAACGCTTCATAAACACTCCGAACATGATTATAAATTTAGAACAAAACAACAATAAAAAAATCTAGTCTAAAATTCACCTAAAACATCGCAATATTTTTAATGAAAACACGAAATTTTATCATTCATAAAAAATTATCACTGGCTGGAAATATAAACATACGAGTTTGTGTACATGATTTTTATCTTTAACTTACACTCGATTCAAACACGACTGACCTAGACACAGTGAGCGGCCCACATTTCAAGTGCCGCTAAAATCGATACATTTTCATAACAACACGTAATACTACTCCTAGGACGAGATTACATAAGACAGTACCGAAGTTCCCTTTAAAAAGTGTGTTTGAGTGACTTTTTTATTCGTTTTAAGCATTATAGTAAACAATTTATGTATAAAAACTGGTAAACATGTACAACTACAAATCAGAGTTCTTAACTGGAATCGAGGCGAATTTTTTCTATAAAATATCGACGTGTCTCTCGATCAATCAACAAACAAATCGACATTATGTCAGATGTGTTAATCATCTGTTTCGCATTTAGTTTTATAAAGCGCCATCTATTGGCATCTTTTTAAATCGATTTCTTTTCAATATTTTCTCGCGTCAGAAACATGTAGGTAAAAATAATACAACAGATTTTTAATTACATCACATAGTTAATTGTAGAAAACAAAATGAAGGCGATTAAATTATGTATTAATTAAGAGTATCACTATAGTGGACTTATCTTAAATATTAAATAGAACTTCAGTTTGAAAAGTCTAGCCATTTTATATTTTTTATGATGTAAAATGTAAATGACCTGTTGCGTTACACAAATTCCACAAAACACCTGAACAAAGTTACTCTACAGTCAAATAGAAATGTTGTTTGTCTTCATTTTTAAATAATAGTCGCATTTGTTCAAACAAAAGTTTTGAAATACATGTTGCTGTGACAATATACCGTTAGCACGATTGGGAAAAAAAACAAATAATAAATTCAAATATAAGAATTACATTTTTACAAGTATTGCTGTAGCATCGATGGTTCAGTGGTAGAATGCTCGCCTGCCACGCGGGCGGCCCGGGTTCGATTCCCGGTCGATGCAGTACTTTTTGCATTTACTTTTCCTTAAAATCTCATAGTATCTGCTTTGCTAGAGAAAATTTGAATTCTCTTTTAAATGCAATTTACTTGTATTAATTATATCATACCTAAGCCTCATATTGTGTTTAAAATTAAAAAGCATAACATTTTATCTTAACACAACACAACAAATAAAATTGCTCATTTTCTTTTCTTTGAACAGATTAAAAAAGTATAAAGGGGAACGCAGTTACGCTTTCCCGCCTCCGGGCGCTCCGTTAAAAATAATAAACATTCTGGTTCGATGTATTATTCTTTTATAGCTTCAATAATCGTTTATCACGCTACTGATACGTATCGCAGTTACCGTTTAGCATAATAATGACTGATTTAATGATCTCCATAGCTGTAGTCTACCGACTTGTAGCGCCATCTATGATTATAAAATGATAATTGCAATTGTTGAAAAAGTTTGCATATAAATTTTACCTTTTGACAGCAAAAACAAATTGTAATAGGTTAAAAGATTCTTGTAATCGAAACCTAATAGACATATTTTTATTACCTAACTTTAAAAAATCTTAGTCATTAAATCGATATCGAGTTAAGCACAACTTGATTATGAAGAAAAGTTACTCAGACTTCCAATACCTAACGGAATTTAATTGCAACCTTTGCATGCGATGATTTTTTTTTGAATAAACAGTTCGTCAAATTGTCAGTACAATATTTACGTAATTCTACGCGAATAACATTCCGCTCATTTAAAAAAGAAAACGCAAGCAAATGACATAACTGTTAAGAGCCGTTATTTAAAGGAAACTGATTCAAGACGAGTTTCGCTAAAATGTCCTTGAGTATGCAACTGGTAAACTAAAAAGGCCATCATCTGAACAATCTTCCGCGATCTTTTTATGTCACCGGTAAATCGTGTACGCTATCCGTTTGTAATCTATCTAGATAAATTGTAGACTCGACAACTTGCATATAAAACGAATTCATTCACAAAAACACGTGGTGTAAGGTAATATTTAATTTCACTTGCGTTGTCATCAGCACCCTAATGAAGAGTCACCTTTAAGTCAAGTCTTTCTGATTGGTCTAGTCAAATTACAAACAGGCAGAGTACAAGATTTGTCGGTAACGGTACATTCACATATCGTGTGAACTTGAATGGGTTTTATTTTGATTACATTTCGCAACTAATCGACGTTTTATCATTTGGATTGGCGCCGTCATAAATTATCTTGTCTCGTCTCTTTGAATGGTGATTATTTGCTAAATTGGATTTTGTAATTTCATTCCCAAATTTTTAAGTATTTAGATGTCAATTTAATAATTTTACCGGACAACAAAGGACTCAATTAACATTTATGTATAAATTATTAGTTATGTCTCTTTCTCATGCGTTCGTAACCCACTGAACATACTTTAATATAATTTTCAAGGCTGCTATAAGAACGGAATAAGAGGTGTGCGTAATTATAAATTAAAAAAGGGAATCACATTTCCGTTCTTAAAATCTTTGCTGGCACGTGGAAAATCCCCTTTACATCCTTGTATTGAGAAACTGACGTCATTATATTCGATTGTCAACCAAAGTCTCGAGATAAGGAGTTTATCTGTGTTGGTCCGATTCAATCTTAATAATTGACAGGATAAAGCAAGCAGCACGTCTGGATTTATCTTTTGTACAATGAATGAGGATATATATCAAATTATTGTTATAAACTAGATAGTAATAGTTCCGGCGTATTATATTTATTTCAATTGCTACAGTGCAATAGAATATTTTTGTATTATATTTAATGTCTATTTCTTTTAATTTACAGGTTGCTTAATTGTTAATTATACCAATAAATAGAGACCACAAAGTCACGTTAGAAAGTTTTTCTAGAATATTTTCAAAAGGATTCTTATCCTATATTGTTCTATCTTCTTTAGATGATCGAAAGCCTACTTGAGCACTTATTAATCGTCATCGTAATCATCAACACTAGGCACAACAACTTCTTCAACTGTTCCCGATGGCGGTATGGTAGTTGTCGTCGGAGTTGTTGTAGTTGGTCCTGAAGTTGGTGCTGAAGTTGGTGCTAAACTTAATGCTGTAGTTGGTGCTGTAGTTGGTGCTAAAGTTAGTACTGTAGTTGGTGCTAAAGTTGGTGCTGAAGTTGGTGCTGTAGTTGGTGCTGAAGTTGGTGCTGTAGTTGGTGCTAAAGTTGTTGTTGTAGTTTGCCTTTTTGTTATCTGTGCTCTTGGTGCTTCAGTTGAAGTTGCCGCTGTGGTTGTTATTTGCATTGTAGTTACGGTTGAGGCTTCCGCTGATGTTATTGACACCGTTGTTAATGTAGTTGTTAGAGTTGTCATTTCGCTAGTATTTTCAACGACTTTATCCAATGTTGTATCTTCAAATGTTGTTATATTTTCTTTTGACGACTCATCAATGTCATAAGTTTTTACCAAATCTATTAAACTTGTATCAACAGCCGTTTCTTCTGGAACAAATTCTGTTGTTAAGGTCAATTCCTCGAAATTATCTTTTATAATCTTGTTTAGTACTGAATTCACATTGTCTGCGTCTTTAGATACTAAGTGACTTAATTGTTCTATGAAACTTGTCTTGTTTACATTAGGTATGCATTGTGCTATGCAACTTTTTTTGTCCGGGAACTTATTGTTAGTGCTACAACCTTTCCAATTGGCTTGTACGCATTTCTTCTTCTTTCTTTTGTATGTATAAACGGGAATAATTTCGTCCGTACATTTAGTAGTATTAAGTTTTTTATCGCAGTTGCCTGAAAATGTAAGTATTCGAAATACAATGAGACAAACAGAACTGTTTCAAAAAATAATATTGTTCAAAAACTCCTGTCAAGAATATACCAACCAGAAATAGAACATCTATTTCTAGACATTGAAAGTTGACATCCAACTTTTTTGAAACTGTTTATTTTCTTTAGATTTATTATATAACTAAAACGTATGAAAGCGATGAATTTTTGTGTCTAGTCCAGACCCAAAGAACTATTTTACGTATTAGAAATACCTCAGTGTGTACACTTTGTGTAAATGAACATACTGTATAAAACTTACTTTCATTGTGCATTAATAATTCCACTGATGTTTCTTCGGATGATTTTAAAAATGAAAACATACAAGTATGGACGCATTGATATTCGTCATCGAATTTATTCAATGTAGCACATCCTCTCCAAATTTCTATTTCACATCTGGAGCCAGGCTTGTAGTAGGAGAAGACTGGAGTTGGTGCACCGCCGCAATCACTTGTATTGATTTGTTGCTGGCAATACAATGGTGGTACTGGAAATGAATAAATCAAATCACATCTTATCTTACTTATAGATATTTCCCACTAATCATCATCTCTCTATGTCATGGTTTGCTGCAAGAGAACTCTTTTAAAGTTAAACTCATCAGTACATCATTGCATTTCTACTTAATGTTATTAACATTGTTTTAAGTACAAAGCTTTAAAAAGGTTTTAGTATAAATATTTTTGAAATAAGTTTTTTAGTTTTCTCTAAAGTCCAATGATAAAACAGATAGCTGTATTTTTTTCTTTTTAATTGGAGTGTTTCAACTTACGTGATGTTGTAATATTAATAAAGTAAAAAATGTATACAGTGTTCCAGAAGCACAGAACCTTTTTATTCATGTCAACAGAAAATACGTGTTCATTATCGTAAAATGTGATTGTATTGTATCGGAATAATTAATAAAGACTAATTTAAAAATCACTTAAACTCTCTCATAATTAGCTCTTATCAAGCAGCATGTTCAGTTATAATGTAATAAAATAGTTTGAGATGAATAGGTTTAATTTTATGGTGACTCAGGTCGTTAGGCTTATGATGATGAAGGTAAAAATTATATTCTATACTTTGTAAATTACTAGCCTAATATTTTTCGCTTATCTAAGGGTAAAAGTTGATATTTAATAAAAATAAATGATTTTATGTGTTTTAAAATTGAAATCCTAAACTGAAAAAAGATTTTGCATCGACCGGGAATCGAACCCGGGCCGCCCGCGTGGCAGGCGAGCATTCTACCACTGAACCATCGATGCTGTACAAGACAATTCAAAAAATATATTTACTTAGTGCTCCAAGTGTTTTTAATCACAAGTTTAAAATTTAAAAAAAATAGAAGATTTTTTAGATAAAATTATGAAAGTAAAGATAATGTCTGGATTTATTGCCTTCTAAATATTCTTGTATCAGCGACACCTGGTATATGAAACTTTAACTGGTTTCTGGAAATGTTTTTAAGGTTTATGCATAGATGGCGCTTTGCAATAAAACAAGAAAATGTTTCATTAGCGTTTACTTCTAGTTATTTTACAGCGATTTGTACAATATGCCTTATGAATATAAATAAATTATTTGTAAGCGTATTCGACTTTTTTTTAATAAAATTCCCAATACTTTTAAATATAGGCTTTTAATACCATTTAATTTAAAATAGAATTTATACTTAATAAATATTAAACATTAAACAATATAAAAGAGTGCCGTTAAAGTATTAATATAATAAATTCGTTGTATTCAGTTGTTTTTTGTCTGGCAGTTTTAAATGCGCCTTATATTTTATTTCTACGGTTTGCTTTTTCCCTTTTTGTCTGTCGTAATCACTTCATCAATCGGAGGAACGTCATTTCGGTCTGTGAGCTGTTCTTTATCTTTTCGTGCCAATATTACTCCTACTATTATGAGGATTATCTGTAAAAAGAGCATTATAAACGAACATCAATAATTTTTACAACAGTACCTACTTAGCAAAACTATTGCTATTTTTAAATTGCAGGTGCTTCAAAGACTTTTTTGTTCTTTGACACATATTACTCATTCATACTTTTTTGCTTCATTTATAAATTGCTAAACTTTATGTTAAATTTCCAAATTTATGACTGAAATATTTTTTGCGATTATCTCAAAGAATTGAATTAGAAAATGCCATTGAATTGTCGATAGATGTCGCTGCAACTATTGAAAAAAATATTTTACGACAAATATAAAAATTTCTAAATCTTACCTCTAGCAGAATTTCAAATATAGATACGACAAGTAAAGTTTGCAATGTTTCTTTGAAGACATTTATGATGAGGTTTCTACATCCAATATCGTAGTATTCCTTCTTGGCTTTGCAGGATTCTCTCTCTCTTTCCTGCACTAGTTCTGACCTGTCCGGGTCATAGGAGGGACAACAGGAGATTGGGACATTTGCTGCGAAGTAAGTCGGGAAGTTTGGCGCTCGGTAATCTTCTGCAGAGTACACACCGCAGCAATTGAGCTGAAAAATATATAGCTACGTTGAATTGCTGCGGCAAAATTGATAAATAATAAATGTATTTTTTATGTTTTTTTTTATTTAAATTGGAAAAGATGAATTCGGTTTTACAAGTTTAGTGAAGTACCTTAAGTTGAGAAATATTGAATATTTACAAACTTTAAGATTAAATCAGAGTTTAGTCTTCATTAAAGACACATTTACATAAAGGCACACGTAAAGAAGATTCATCATACACCTATGTCTCTTACGAGCAGACAAACTGATTTGAACTTTACTTCTTTTTGTATTAGAATATTGCATAAAAAACATTGTCCAAAGTATTTTAGTTACTAATAACTTACATCATGCTGTGTCCTTGCCCAGATCTTCACATGTCTGGGATTGTCGTCGCGTGCCAGTTTGAAGGAGTCTGAGAGGAAGCGGCCCAATTTGACTTCGTCCTCTGTCGTCACGATCAAAGATACGCTCAGTATCACCGCTTGGATCACTGCTACGACGACTAGGACTGAGATTGCCTAGCAACAAGAATACATATGATAATTTCAGGTTTTTATCCGAGGTCTTTGTGGGTTAAGCGCCTGTCGGAAAATAATAGTCAATCCGAATGAGAACAATTACTGGAATTTTTCATTTTAATCTATTCATTTTTGGCATACAAGAATGGAAATGCTTCCAATAATGTTTTCAACACGAAAAGTCTAATATTTCGTAGAAATCTGACAGTTTTAAAATCAATCGCTTATTCCGCTAATTATGTAGCAGATTTAAATTAAAATTAATTTATTTTACTAATCTTTCTAATATTATAAATGCGAATGTTTGGATGGATGTTTGTTTGAAGGTATCTCCAGAACAGCTGTATAGATCTCGCTGTAATTTAGCATGGCCGAAGTCGCGACCGACTTTTAGTATCAAATAAAGTAAATTACAAAATATAAAGATTAACCATTTCCATTTTATCTGTGATTGTCAAGATATTATGAGATATTCTGACTTTTAGCCGTTTGTATCATGAAATCTGACAATACCTTTACATGGAGGTAATGATTTAGTCGCGGCAATCACGTGGTACGAGGTCGCGTGATAGGCCACTTTACTTCGTACCTTTACCACCGTATACCATTTCACTGAACCCTAGGCTAACCAACTTAATGCCATTTTAAGACTAATTTAAAAAAGGTTATTTTATTTAACGAATTGACACCACACATGAACAGTGGAAACTAAAGATTCTATATTTATCTATAACAACTATCTCCACGACTCGGGACTCTTTAAAAAAAAACTGAAAAAGTAGCCTATGTGTTTTTCCAGATTATATTCTACATCAGTTCCAAATTTCATCAAGATCTATTGACCCGTTTCGTCGATAACTTCTTACAAACATCTATCCATCCATCTAAATTTTCGCATTTATAATATTAGTAAGATTTACTTCCATTTAAACTATTTTCAACTGACTATAAAATTAATTATGATGTCATATCCTTACTCACAATTCTATCATGGAGTTCCTACTCCGAATATATGAATTCAGTATCCCCCAAGGTCACGACAGTGTTAACAACCCTGATTTACTTGGAAAAGCAATCATACTGTTAATTAGTAAAATTCGTATATAATTTTCATTACACCTTTAGTCACTAAACTTGGATTTGGAATTTCTTTTAAATAGCTGTAGGAATGAATCATTATATATTTCTAAAGTAAACTGCTAAGAAATCAACAATTTGATATTAAAAAATCAATATAGCAGCTCATCCGAACAATGTATAAGGAAAGTGTATAAAAAGGTATTGAAGGTTTCAAGCTACGGCCAGTATTTTCTTTGTTTATGTTAAATATTTAAAGGCATGCTTTTCAATAACATAAATAATAATTATAACCTATAATTTTTTTTCTTCCACTGCACCATAACCGCACATAAAATCGACACATGACCACCGTTTTATTTTACATAACGATTTTAAAATGGCGTATTGTGGTTAATTCAATGTGCGTTGAAAAACCTAACTTAGTACTTGAGTACTAAGTTGCTAAGTTATCAGTATCTGAATTCAATAATAATATATAATTGAATTCTTTATCGCCAACATAGACGTGTATAAAATATCCGAAAATGTTAAAATTTTATGGGTCAAAAGCAAAAAAACTCCGCTAAACTAAAGGTCTTCTACGACCGCATTAATTAAAGGGAAAACTCTTTGTAATTCATATTGTAGTTACCGATTGCACAGGTCGCCTTTGCTTCCTCACAGCCCCGATGGAACCATAGATGACAAAGGAGATGGCAATCGCAGCGGTTACGAGCATCACCACGATAGCCACCAATCGACCCGACAGGTCATCGCTGTAGATCTTGATGGCCAGTGCTGATGTTACTGATACCACTATCACCGCGATTGATTGCAGCTGAAAGAGTATAGAGGTTAACTAGTGGAAATAAGTCTTAAGTTTATCGCTCATAAGCTCGCGTTGTTTGCCGCGACATCACGTCCACCACGTTAAAGTCAGATTTAAAACATACCACAGTAAGAAACCCAACAGCAAGGAACAATATCCTAAAGCAAATATCGCAGCAAGGGCTTTTCTTCAGCATCCGGAACTGCGGTTTGTACATTTTGCCTAGACCCTCGCCATGACCGCCGAGCCCGCCGTCACCACCGGGGATGCTGCGCTGCGTCGCCACATCACTTATCACCGCTTCTGGCTCTTTCGCTGTCAAAAGAAGCATAAAGCATTTCAGATCACTGACACATATCAAAAAAGTTCGACAAGATCGTTATCACGCTGTATCGGCTTTTCATTTTATGTTAAACTAGCTGCCGTCTGCGACTCTGTCCGCTCTGAATTAAAAAACTAAACCTAATTAGTAATCTATGTATTCTTCCCGGCTACATGTATGCCAAATTTGAGTGAGATCCTTGCAACCGTTCTGGAGACCTTCTAACAAACATACATCAAACCATCCATGCATCCAAACATTCTCATTTATAATATTAGTAAGATAGAGTTATAAGTGTAAATTAAGGCCCGTTATTTTATTAACGTACAAAGTAAATTCCCGATAAAAAACAATGCAAAATCTTGATATTGTTATATTCAAATTGATACTTAAATGTATATTAATTAAAGCAATATGTTACCTTGAGCCTTGCTTGACTTTCCCATGTCTTCCCAGTGTGCGGCGACGGGCGGGAGTACTGTGAGCGCAGCATTCGCCCCACCTGGGTATATAAGCATATTGTAACACATAACAATGCCGCTACGAGCAGCCACGGACGAACGCACCAACGGACCGACGCATGGCTTCAGAACTATAATGGGGTATAAAGTTATTCATTGTGTGAGCACCATTGATACATGAGCATTGAAAAATTGGCAGCAATTTTTTTTAGATTAACCGACAAAGAAAAAAAAATTAATCCTATGTTAAATTCAACCATATATCTTGTTTATATCTTTATGAAGCAAAAAATTAAAAGGTTGCAATCGGAACCTAAACATGGGTGGATAAATCGCAGATTTCCATTTTTCTTCCATCTAGAAATACTAATTTCACTAATTTTATAAATGCGAATGTTTGGATGGATGTTCGTTTGAAGATATCTCCAAAACGGCTCCAAGGATATAGCTGAAATTTGGCATAGATATAGTACAGTCAGCGTCATATAGATCGTCACAGACAAGATATGCAAATATATAGGTACACCAAAAGTAATCAATTATATCGGTACAACAAAAGTCCTCAAAATAATAGATACATTCACCCTGCTCAAATACATCGGTACATACACAGCGTCAAATATATGAGTACATGCAAGATGCTCATAAATATCGTAGCAGCCACAGCGTCATAAGTAACGAAGCAGTCAAGGTGCGCAAAAATATCGGTACATTTGACAAAATTGAACTCTATCTCTATATACTTGTGATACAATTTGGAATAAACTACTTCTGTTACATTCATTTGACACTTTGTAATAACATTATAGGTTGTCCGGAAAGTTCGTTCTGATTTTCGATATAAAGCTTACAATAGACTGTAGCTGAAGTGCATTCATTTTCGGATTTCCACCATTATCAAACGTCACAAAAATTTCTATATTGTGAATAATTTCATTTCATTGGTTGAGATAAAAACTAATTTTTAAAATTTTAGCCAAAAATAAAAGACGTTTTAGGTATAGTGTCGTACCAATATAATTTAAAAACATTTCCAAAAATTTCAGAGAACAGGGTTTCAATTTTCCTTATAAAGCGGCACGAACTTACTGGGCAACCCAATATTTTTCTTCTCCTGTCATAACGCTTAAATGTAAAAGTTTGTCACGCCGAATATGACAGATACGTATTAACTAATATCAAATTTTGCCTTGTCACAATATATATAATACTAGTTTGGCGCAGTATTCTAGTATGTTTGCCGTAATATGTAAGTTTACCGGTTCGAATCTCAGGCTACTTTTTTTCATTTTATCAATCACGGGGTTATTTTTTCATAACCAGTAAAAATTTGGTAATGTAAAATTTTGCTCGACAATTTTTTTTTATAATTATCGCTGTCGGGTAGAAAGAAATTTAAAAAAAGTTAACAACAATTAGGTCAGACCATCGCGGGTGAAGTGAGTGGGCGTAGATTGATAGCGTAGATCTTTGCGGGTTTTAAGAATGGTATGCGCGGAAACTATACGTACAAGTGTTATCTACATATGTGTGCGCGCCCACGCACACTGGAATGTTTATTGCAATCGACCAAAAATTTGATGTAGTTTGGATATTGACATTCAGTTTTTTTTTCTTTGTTTCTTAAATATAATCAGTATCAGTAAAAGGTAAAAGTAAAAGTGTTATTTTTACCGGTACAAATTTAACAAACATGAGTAATAAACAAATTACATGCCGATAGCATCGCTTTATCTCCTTCATTTTTGTTTGAAATAGAAAAGTACTTTAACGGTCAAACTCATTAGTCCAAGGCAATATCAAAAAGTACCTAATAACTACGGCGATAGAGTTTAATTACATGTGCTTCGACATTAAAATTAAAAAGTTTAAATATAAAAAAAAATAGCGGCTTGGGATTTGAACCGCCGACCTTACGTACCAACGGCGGCGAACGGTAAGGCCACGAGACCAAACTAGCATATATGATGACAAACTTAAATTTGATGTTGGTTTTATCTACCTAATATCTGTCATCCGCGTCGAACACTTTTAGTAAATTTTGAAAAATGATTTGATGCAAAGTGTCAAATGAATGTAACAGAAGTAGTTTATTCCAAATTGTATCACAAGTATATAGAGATAGAGTTCAATTTTGTCAAATGTACCGATATTTTTGCGCACCTTGACTGCTTCGTTACTTATGACGCTGTGGCTGCTACGATATGACTGTACAGTCAGCGTCATATAGATCGTAACAGACAAGATATGCAAATATATAGGTACATCAAAAGTAATCAATTATATCGGTACAACAAAAGTCCTCAAAATAATAGATACATTCACCCTGCTCA